CAGGTCAACTGCTTTCTTTTGATGTTTCCATCAACTCCTCACACAACCTTAAAGAAGCTAACAACTCCATATTTGTCTGTCTATAAAATCTGGTTTTTGGTAAACCGAAAATTGCAATCGAAAATCTCAAGAAAAAATGGCGAAAACCCGTAAATGGATTCTCACAATCACTCTTCTCTGCTTTCTGGTTGCATCATCTTCACAGGCTGCTCAAGAAACAGGAGAAGTCATCAATTCACCAACAAAGCTACAAGGTGATCCAATTGAGAACCAGAACCAACCAATTCTTGGTCAACCATCTTCATCTTCTCCTGTAAACCAGCCTTTAACCGGATTTAATCAGCCATCAACAACAACTGGACTCAACCAACCAATTCTTGGTCAACCATCTTCTTCTTTAAACAAGCCTTTAACCGGTTTAAATCAACCATTAACCGGATTTAATCAGCCATCATCAAGTGGACTCAACCAACCGATTCTTGGTCAACCAACATCTTCTTCTGTTAACCAGCCTTTAACCGGGGTAAACCAACCATTGACCGGGTTTAATCAACCATCATCAACCGGATTTAACCAACCAATATCTTCTTCAAATCTCAACCAGCCATTTTCGAATCGACTCAACCAGAACAGTCTCTCTGGAAATGGTATTCCATTTCTTAATGGAAATTCGAAGCTTGAGGTCTTCATTACAAAGATTGTCTTTGTCTGGATTGCTCTTCTCCTATCTTTGCATGGTCCAGACATGAACTGAAATGTTTGGAGCGTCTGTATAATTATTATATTTGTTCTATAACATTCTAGTTTAAGAGTGTGTAATGTGTATAATTTACTGAAATGTTTTTTCCTTTGTGTTAATGGATCAGTGTTGGATCCGGTTTTATGTCCAGGTGTGATTTTCGGTTTAATTTGGTTATCAGTTTTCCCGTATATGGAATTATGGATTATATAAAACAAACTGAAACCAACATACATATCACATATGATCGTAAACATCAACTCATATTAAATTTGATCGGTAATGTTTAACCTTTCCAATAAATTATTCTCATTCATATCTAGAGAAGGACATTAAACCCGAGACATAATCGGTTTAGTCTAATCAGTCAACGCTTCTATTTTTTTTTTCAGGCAGTGCTAAAAAATAAAATTACTTGAAATATTAATTTATCTTTGACCGGCTGCAACGCACTTTAAAGCCACTATGTCCCTCACGTGCCCGATTTTTCATTAATCATGGTTCTTATATGGTTTAGATATGGCAATCGACCGGTTTATGGTTAAACCGAACTTTTTGAGGTCAACGCCTCTGTTTTTGAAGTATGAAGATGTTTTTGTCATAACACTAAACAAAACTCAAGAACGAAATGTGTTCTTGGATACTAAAGTTGCTGCTACTTGAACTTGTGCTTGTGTTGATTCAACATGCTGATTCATCATCAGAAATCTTCCTGGTTTTGAAGGACCTCTTCCTTTCGAGCTTTAAACCGGGTTCGCTGTTCCACTTCATCTTATATTTAACCAGCACTGTTATGATAATGAATCTGTGTTTCTGAGTTTTTGGATTAAAAAAATCGTTCAGGTACATTGGTGTTGGTGATGCAGAAGAAGATCAAATGTTCTATTACTTCATCAAATCTGAGAGTAACCCAAAAGAAGATCCTCTTCTTGTTTGGTTAACCGGAGGACCTGGCTGCTCTTCTTTCTCTGGCCTTGTTTATGAGAATGGTTAAAATCTTTTTCTCTTAATTCATTCTTATTTGTGTCTCCAAACAATGTAACGACTTGTTTTAATTGAGAAAACAAAAAAAAATCAGGTCCTCTTGCTTTTAAGGTTGAGGCATATAATGGAAGTGTACCTTCTTTGGTCTCTACTACATATTCATGGACTAAGGTATTATAGATTATGTAAACACTGTTTTATTTAGAATGAAATGTTTTTTTTTTCATGTTCAAGTTTAGAATGATGGTTTCTTTTTTTTTTTAAGGTGGCGAATATAATCTATTTGGATCAGCCTGTTGGGACTGGCTTCTCTTACTCAAGAAACCCACTTGCTGATATACTAAGTGACACAGGATCAGCTAAGCGAGTCGATGAGTTTCTTCGTAAGGTACCGTTTAAGCATATGTCTTTTATGCATAGAGTTTTGGAGATTTTATTGGTATTGTTGTTGGTGATTGTTGTGCAGTTGCTGGACAAGCATCCTGAATATTTCTCCAATCCTTTTTATGTCACCGGAAACTCTTATTCCGGTAAGGTGATACCGGCCATCGTTCAAGAAATCTCGAATGGTATGTTTAAAACCTTTTTTATTATTTCAATCAAAATCCATGTTCTTTGAACTATCGTTTCTTGATCAGTTATTTTACCAATTTTATATATCACAGGAAATTATATATGTTGCAAACCTCAAATAAATCTTCAGGTTAGTCAATGTTTGCTTCCTTCTTACATTATTTCCATATATATGGATTATCAAGCATTAAGAGTAGAGGAAGAGTTTTGTTTTTAAGCCTTCTCTACGCTTTCCAACAACAGGGCTATGTGCTCGGAAACCCGGTAACAGACTTATCTGTTGATTATAACACTCGCATTCCATTTGCTCATGGAATGGCACTCATCTCTGATGAACTCTATGAGGTACAATTACAAAATCTAGGCTTTCTTTGTGTCTTGTCACCACAATGAAGTGGTTAACGACCAATTCAAAACTCTTAATTTGTAGTCAATGAAGAGAAGTTGTGGTGGAAATTATTTTGATGTGGATCCTCTTAACACAGAATGCTTGAAACTTGTTAAGGATTCAACAAGGTACATACACACATAGTTGCATGAATTGAGATTTAATGGTAGAATCACTAACTTAGAATCTGTTGTTTATCTACAGTGTGTTTCTAGAATATATGAAGAACTTATTCTAGCATCAAACTGTGATAATACATCTCCTGATTGCTATGTAAGCTTTCTTGGTATCTTTTGGAGCCATTTAACAAATCACTAAAGAAGAATATTGACAATGTTGCTTTCTACAGACTTATCGGTATTCGCTATCTGAATATTGGGCTAATAACAAGAGCGTACGCAGAGCACTTAAAGTAGTGAAGGTATATATAACAAGTTTATGATAACATTGATCATTTGGTTAAAATTAAAACTCTATGAGGATATTTGATTATAGGGAACTACAGGGAGATGGGATAGATGTAATTTTAATGTGCAGTGTAACCAAGACATTAAAAGTAGCATACCATACCATATAAATAACAGCATCAAAGGTTATAGATCTCTCATCCTCAGGTACACAAATTTCAACAACGTATCCACAAGATTGTTTCATTAAAGAATTGTTTTTAAACTTTTTCTTGGATTGGTGTTCCTAATGAACAGTGGCGATCATGGTATGACAATCCCTTTCATTGCAACTCAAACTTGGATAAGGTCTCTAAACTATTCCATTATTGAGAAATGGAGGCCATGGATGGTACTCGATCGAGTCGCAGGGTACACCAAGACTTATGCTAATAAGATGACTTTTGCTACTGTGAAAGTAACTCTTTGAATCCTATATTTTTTGTTGACATAAAATGCAAAAGCTTTTGTTACATGAGATTTCTTAATTGGTTCATGGGTTTGGTTTATAGGAAGGTGGACACACGTTAGAGTATAAACCAGAGGAGAGTTCAATCCTGTTCAAGAGGTGGATAAGTGGCCAACCTCTTTAAGCACAGAAACCTTAATCTTGGAGTTATCTGATCCATTTTGAAACCGAAAGTGTTTGGTTTGCTGATTCATCTGAAATAAATGGTTTACAAGTTTATAACTACATGCTAAAGTAAAAGGCTCATTCCAAACTCATACACATATGTTAATTAAACCTTTCCAATAAATTTTGTAGAAGGAACTATGAAAATTGTTTTAACTAGAGAGATATACCAGCGCGTATTAGTTTAATAACTTCTTATATCTTATTGTATTTGAAATTATAGCTAAACTATATACTTTGTAAAACAAGAACTTATAATATAAAATGTATACATTTGATTATATTTACTTAAAAACTAGTATTGTCATATATGTTATACAAAACATTATACTTGTGTTCGAAATTTATTGGCTAATGTAATTAAGATAACCCATCAATTACCTTTTTCAAATATTAAATACAATTGGACACAAATCTACTATTTGTTTTTTAAAACGTTGAAATCCTTGAAATGCATTTTAAAAAAAAACCAACGATAATATTAGTTTCTTTAAAATACATCCATAATCCATATATGCGTGGAGCTGTAACGCAGTGAAATATGTTAGTAACATCTACACGAATCGACTGGTTTCTTTTTTAAGTCGGTTTAAATGGAGCACCAAAAAAAATGATATAACAGATGTTTATGCCTTTAACCAACTCCAACCCGAATTAACCAAAACCTTGTTCAGTTTGGATGGTTAGGTTCAGAATAATTGCCCTAGCTAGGGTTCGTACTCTATATTATATTTTGAGACAAAAAAAAACTCCAAAACAACTTATATTTTGAAACGAATGGAGTATTAGAGTCTCTGCGAGGACCAGCACGTAAACCGACCATGGAAAGAGGAGAAACTTCAGATTCACTCCCAATTGATCTCATTAACGAGATACTCTCGAGATTGCCTTCAAAGTCAGTAGCGAGGTTTCGTTGCGTGTCGAAGCTATGGGGGTCTATGCTTCACGGTCGATATTTCACAGAGTTGTTCTTGACCATGTCACGGGCTCGTCCACGTATCTTACTCGCCATTAAACGAGTTGGTAATGTTCCGTGGCAGTTCTACTTGTTGCCTCAGCTTCAGGTTCCGTATGAGAAGTCGTCGTCGTTTCTGTCTTTTGTAGTACCCGCCGATTTGCATATGAAATTCCCTAGCCAACGATTTTCTGTTGACAGTAATTTCTTTGGTAGTAGCCGACTATATATATGTGGCTATGCCTCTGGTTTGATTTGTTTCTCTGGTCGCTGGATCTCAAAGGGTAAATGTTATGACAAGAAGCTTGTGATATGTAACCCTAGCACGGGACGGTATGCCATCTTACCGAAATTGACAAGGTACAATGAATCTTTAGGGTTTGATCCGATTGACAAGCAATTCAAGGTATTGTCCATGCCTTATGATAAGGATGATCATGCTCCTCAAATTCTGACATTAGGAAATGGAGATATGAGTTGGAGGAAGATCAAATGTCCCTTAGCCTATAATTCTTCGCGTAACGGAATATGCATCAATGGAGTTTTGTATTACTTAGTTACAAAAATTGATCATGAAACGCTTGCATCAATAGTTTGTTTTGATGTTAGGTCTGAGGAATTCAAGTTTATTCCCCAAAGATACTTTAATTCATATTCTACTAACTTGATAAACTATAGGGGTAAATTAGGTACGCTTAGTTGGGAACATGATCATGATGTTGATGCCATTAAGTTGAGTTTTTGGGTTCAAGAGGATGTCGAAAAATAGGAATGGTCGAAGTATGTCTACACATTGCCGGAGAAAGCCACTGATCCCCGCAATGTTTTCATTGCTGGAGTGACAACTACTGGTGAAATTGTTTTGTCGATGTACTATACATGTAAACCGTTTTATGTGTTCTACTTCAATCCCGAAAGAAACACTCTCCAAACTGTTGAAATCCATCATGGTAACCATCATGTGGGTGGCGATGAGAAAAGAGTGTACATCTTCGTAGACCATGTGGAGGATCTTAAGTTTAATATTAGGAATGCAACAACGTGTATAAGCCCACCAGAACAGAAGCAACCCACAAGCACATCAACATCATCTGTAGAAGATCGTCGTACGTCTGAGAGCAAGAACAAAGCTCCAGTAGCTATAAGCCCATCAGAACAGAAGCGTAAACCCAAGAACAGATGCTTTGTGTCTGTTAGATGATGATGCTTGAGTGTGACTCTTCATATTTACAGGTTTGGTGTGAGCTTTATCACTCTGTTCTTTCTGGTTATGGCTTTCGTAATGTTAATATTTTCATACACTCCTCTTTTTGGTAACCATCAAATGTTTGACCATTGGAATATTATGTTCGTCTTTGTAGAGGATCTAAGTTCAATATTATGAAGACAACATCTATAAGCTCACCAGAAAAGAAGCCCGCACGAGAACATCTGAAGAAGATCATCACAAGAAAGAAGATCACGGTACATTTGATAAGATTCATTTACAGGTTTCGTGCGAGCTTTATGGCTATGTCGGCTTACTATTTTGTTATTTCTGATTATCATCTTCATGTCTTATAAATTGTGTTAGACTTTCCTCTACATTATCATATGTTGTTGTGCATTTAGAAGTAGACTTTGATTATCGTCCAAGTAGACTATTAGATAATATATTACTGTCATTTGACTGATTAGGGGCAAAAAGATTTGTCTCTAGCCTCACAAACAGATCACTAGATAAATTCTTACGCTTCTCATATGATATTAAGTTCACTATTACTTTATCCAATGAAAATAAGTATTATAAGTATAACTTGCAGCTAAATTTGTTGTAAAAAATTATTCCAAGTTCCGTAAAAAAACTGTACTAATTCAAGAGAAGTTACAATAGTCACGTAAACTAAATTGTCTACTATTTATCTTCTCTTATTAGGAGGTAACGTTGGTATACTCTGCTCATTCCTAAAGAAATTTTCCGGATCTACATCGGTTTTCACCCGGACTAATCGATCAAAATTATCGCCATAATATTTTCTTCCGTAGATTTCTCCCTTTCGATAACTATCCACTATGTGGTCATTAACCCCGATATCGATATCCCTATAGGGCAAATACGAACTTCTTAAGGTTTTTCAACACGAATGGAGTCATGATTTTGTAGGTTGTTCTTAAATTACCAATGTAAAGTCTTTCTGCTTCCGGTCCAGCATCGGGCCATGTCGCGGAATGTTGGATTTTGTATAGTTTGTTCCTATGCGAAACGCTGTTTCGTTCGTTGCGGTCGCGTTTAAATTCCCTCCGTACGGATTCAAAACCAAACCGGTTCTATCTAATGTCGCCAATTTCTGAAACAGCCGGTTCAGTTCTCCAATTTGGTCATCTCTTTCTCAACGTAATCAGATTTCCTCTTGAGAAATTTAGCCGAATCCGGTTCTCTCTCGAGTAAAATCTCCGGTTTAATATCTTGTCCACTTCTACATGGTTCATCCACCATAAAAGTGATTGAATCTAGGGGTGGACAAACAGAAATTCGGAACAAGAATAGGATGGGAATTTGGGAATCAAAAATACTTGTCCCATTCATATCCCATATACAATTTGGGACGGGACAAGTACGGTACGGAATGGGAATTCCCAAAAAAAATATGACAAACGAAAATTGTAAAATTTAAATCACGTCCATCACATTTCGGAAAAAAGCATAAACTCATGACAATAGCAAAATAAAATGAAATAAACTAGAATCATAAAAAATCCAACATATCAAAATAACGTTCAAACTTCAAATCCATGCTACTTACAAAATGCAATTGAATAAACTAAAGTCATAATAAAATCGAACAAATCAAAATGAAGTTACTAACATATAATCGTGTTTACAACAAAGACAAATTAAAATTTTACATATAATATTATATTAATTAATAATTTTGGTAGTATACTAAAAAGTTACTAACATATATGAAAAATTATGAAACTCATATATAATAGCATATTTTTATATGAATGTATATATACTTCAGGACAAGTGGAGCTTCAGAAATTCCCGTTTCCGTCCCGTCCCCAAACGAGAATCGATAGCTTGTACCATATGGGAATATGGTCCAATACGGAACGGAAATTCAGAAC